ATAAAACTTTTATGTTGGCCTCGATTTCCTCCTCTGAGCGAGACAGAGCGCGCGGATTGACCACGGTCCACCACTTCTCCATGTCGGTGACTGCCCATATCAATGATGAGCATTAAATTATGTGAAAAACATAACAGTTAATACGGGGGTCGTACCAATAAGGAGGGAGTCGTAAAAATTTTGGAATTTGCGCAACGCAGGGTTGACCCTGGTCGTACTTCTGCGACCACGTCCTCGACACGATTTTCACCCTGGTCTGCATGACCGCTCTGACATCCTTGTTTGTGACCCTGTCTAATGCGTCCAGCAAGCCCATTTCAGCATCCTCACTTCAACGGCCTGCCCATCATGATTCTTACCGACTGGCTAGTTTGTTTACTATGTTTGTTTGAATTTTTTTTTGAACTTTGTTTGTTATCGACAATGCATTTCACGTGTTTCGTAACTGTTTTTGCATTCTGCTTACCTCTCAGATCATCTATCATTTATCATCATTTCATGGTACATTTTTTAACGACGGACAACTGAAGGGGAATATTTTTGCCCATAACTCGTTTTTGGACAAAAATATTTCCCTTTTATTTAGAAACTTGGGAAGTTTTTGTTCCTCCACTAAAGCGGACAAGGAGAATTTGCTGTCGAGGGCACAACACGACGAGTATGTAAGTGCTCCAGAGACGAAATCTATCAACCAAAAATTGATATCAGGTACAGGGACCAAGGTAGATTACTGTGCATGTGATCATGGAAGGGTACTACGGTGTAGGGGTACAAGGATGCTTCAGGGTTGACGGATGGAGACCGGCAAAGAAGAAGGAGTAGAAGATATGAAGAAGATCACGAGGAATGAAGCAGGATAAACAATCCCACTATATAAGAGTGATCTTCGGTGGAATAAATGATTCCCCCCAGTGTGTCGTCTCACCGTCTACCTACTTACGGCACAGGGGCGAAGCAGCCCTAATTGAGTGGGATAACTCACAGGTCATGATGCCTCACCCAGTAAACGATCGCGTAAAATGTAAATGTTTTCTGCCATTGAAATGGTTAGCCGTTTGTGAACCACTAGTAATCAAATTTACTTGGAGGCCGTCGTCACTTATGGTGCGTGGTCTGCAGTCACGCGCACCTGGTGTGCAAAACTCATCCAGTAACTGCGAGCGTGCTGGATTTGCACGCACTCGCAGTTATTGGATGAGTTTTGCGAGAGTTCATTTTTAGTTCTAGTAGAAAAAAGGATGCAGATTCAATTTTGCACTAAAAAATAGTAGGGTGAGGGATTTGAAACTCTCCTGACAGGACTGTCCTCGTCGAGAAATCCTTAACGCGTGGGTCGTATCTGGTCCGGTAAGAGGAAGGAAAGTCATATCATAGGTACTAGGATAAGCGGTGAACGGAACAACTGCCGTGATTCTCACCCAATTGCCCCCTCACCCTGAGGACAATGATCACGATGACTGGAGGCTGGTGCGGTTCTCATGGCGTCATTAAATGTCAGCGGACTGGACCCCTGACCGGGATAGGGGTATGTTGGAAGCGCCTTCTAACGCCCCTCCCCCTCCTCCTCCAGGAATGAAGTTCAATGACGTCATCAAGCCCTCCATCGTCCTCCAGCAATCGGTTACTGGCTTTATCCCTGAAAATTGACAGACTTCCATTTCATACAACAAGACATCATTTTTATTACCAACAAATATATCACAGTTTCTTAAAATGGAGGTGTGCTGTGCAAGCTGTCGTGCAATGGCACAAGAGGAATGCCATTTCGAAGAGAACGATGAGCTGTTGATCAATCAATCGGAACAGCACGAACTTGACCGGCGATACTAAAATATATTAGGGTAAAGTGGAGGATATAAATAGGACAAGGACAGGTTTAATGTATTCGCGTTGGTGATTCGGTTTTTGATGCCACAGGAGTCATGCCACACACGTGACTTCTTAGATTAGAATTACAAGGTCACTAAAATGTGCAGTAGGCCTACATAAGGTATGTAACGAAGGTCAACCGATGTACGTGTTTCTATAATTCCGGACCATTCCGATACAATTCTTCCAGCCCACGTGAGGTGGGAGCTAAGATGACTTGGGTAGAAACTGTCTTGGTACTAAAACTATGTGGGAGATATTGCCGTCACTTGTCGGTGGCCAAATTCTGCAATTTTAATCTTTTCCCACGACAGGAATTAGACATCTAAAATATTCGCATCATAAATGAATATAGTTCATACCATCGATTTCGGAAGACGAGAAGAAGATCGAGTGCAGACCACACACCATAAGAGACGACGGCCAAGAGAAAAGCCGCTTTTCTCTTGGCCGTCGTCTCTTATGGTGTGTGGTCTGCACTCGATCTTCTTCTCGTCCTTCTGAAATAGAGTATAAGTCAGAAAGCCCAGTACATAAAAATGGGGATCGAAACTCGGTGAGGCCGAAGCTCTCCCTTCCTAGAGGTAGGGGTATCTCACAAGGGAAGGATACCAGGTCGAAGTGGCCATTTGTAACGAGACATACACCACTAGATGTGTTTTTGGACGCTTATCTCAAATCTGCTCTCCAAATCTGCGAAACGACTCTTTGAACGTAGTTATGAAGCGAGATAGTGCAGTGGCAGCGGTGCGGCTCAACGAACGAGAGGTCGTGAGTTCGAGTTCTTGGCGAGTTCTCACTTTTGCTTTTCTTGTGAACGTTGTTTAAGGGACTCTTATCCATGCTAAGTTATCAGCGATTGCCTATAGCACAAGTAAACAGAGCTGGCGAAGAGCTTCGAGCACTGTGCGCGTCATTTGCAAGTGACCGCCTCTGACACCCGTAGCGCACGCGTAAGGCAATTTCGTGCCAAGCAGATGCGATATTCGTGTTCAGCGCGTCGAAACACCCCTTTCAACAACATTTGGTCCAAATCTAAAATTTTGACTTGAAGTCGAAAATGTGGGCAGTCATCTATCCATCAACCCACTGTCAGAGCCTGATCGTGGGATTGAATTAAACTTTCAGTCATTATTGTGAAAGAGATATAGTTGCCTGCTCTACTTGCTCGTGCCATCCGAAGATTAAGATGATGTTTTTTCACGTACACGCTCGCTGCCCAGGAGGAGCAGGAGGGTAGTGGCTGGGGCTAGGGATAACACCTTCGACTCATTGTAGACCGAGTTTCGAAATTGGGTCCAAATGTCAGCTTTCTAGAATTAAGCCTTCAAAGATAGTTTGGTCCGTTGAGCAAGCATCTCCCATTTGTTTAGCCCATCGTCGGATATACGTCACTTCCGTGGCGTAGAAACACCCCGGCAGTGGTCGAAACATTACGAAAAAGTGGAATGCGTTAAACAAACCCCTCTAAACATGCGTTAGCTTTGGACGCAGTGAAAATTTCAACACTGAATAATTTTTTATATTTAAAATTAGACCTAATTACAAAAAGCAAAAAATTCATGCCCCACCGCCTCCATCTCGGTTTCACCATCTGTGTCGTCCCAACACTACCACTCGGCCAAGCCGCCGCTGGAGCTCTGCCGGGTCTCTCTTACAGTGGGCTTTCATTTCGAAACAACCTCCGTAACACTTTTCAGAGAATCGTTTCGCAAATTTGGAGAGTGGATTCGAGATCAGCGTCCGAAAACACATCTCTGAGTATAGGTTTCATTACGGATGGCCACTTCGACTTGGTATCCTTCCCTTGTCAACTATGATTTACTTGCCAATATGAAAATGGTGGCTCAGTCATCGTTGGCCTAACAACACTCAGTGCAAGTGCATAATTCCCCCGAGATACAGTGAATCTGGGTTGAGGTAGGAATGCACGGCTCATCCCGAATAAATGGTTGAATAATTCTATTGACTTAATTTTTGAACGATGATAGTACAATATACAGTTTATCGCATATAAAGATCACTCACTCCATGGCATCCTGATCCATACATGACTGGATACGTAATAACTTCGTATAGCATGTCGGAATATCCTGAATACAGCCTTGATTAACGAACATACATTACAGATGGCAGTATTTACATCAGTCAGACAAACCAATAGTTGTGGCTGTTCCGAAAGAAGAAAAAAAGTGTCCAGTATTAATGGTACTTGGTGCCCCCTGGTAAAACATGCTTTCGGAGCCACTACGATTTGGAATGGGTGATGTAAAACGTGGCGCATTTCTCGAGCAAATCAGTCATTACCAAAGGAATTCCTCTCACCACCAAGCATTTGTATATATTAGGACAGCCTTAGGTCTAGAAAACACACCAGGTCGATTCCAACACGTGTCCAGAATGTCACTTTGAGTGTAATTTTGTTAAGGGCACGGTTGGGATTGAGTTGGTGTATTTTTGCGCTGGAAGGCTGGAAGGTGAGAGCAGAGAGGCGAAATGGAGCGCCAGTGAGGAAAAAAAGTGAAGAAACAGCAGCGAAGGATCTGGCTTGGAAAGAAGGCAAGCTAGAAAGAGTTTTCCGGATATGCCAGCCATTGCTGGCTCTGTGTCCAAAATTGGGATGCAGCGACCAACACACCCTATCCAGCTGACTTCACGCCCCATGCCTGGCACTTCCTACCTGCGGTGGGCGGTCATAGCCTACGCTAGGCGGCCATAGACCTAAATACTGGACTTGGGGCATATTTACGAGCAGTCTAGTCAGCGCAGCATCAATTCTGCGATTGCAGATCTAGCCACAGTATTGATAAAGATGCTCCCTTTGACCGCCAAATCTCGGTCGTTCCCTTAGAGGTAATCCAGGCTCAGACTGCCGGAGTTTTCGCATACAAAACGGCAGCTTCGAATGCTCCGGTGCGAATTGGATCGGCTATAAAGGAAAAGGGAAAGAGTCCATCAAAAATCTTAAAGTGAATGGGTTAGTCAGTTTCATGCTAAGGCAATGAGAGACTAATCACGAAGAGAGTGGATAGGCGGAGCCAAGCAGGTAGGAGAGCACCTGAACAGCAGCTGCGAAACAGAACAAAATTGAAGCGGTTGAAGTGGGTTTTGCGAAGGCTTTAGCGTCCTTGTTACGTACTTCAAGGTCGGAACAACGACACAACCTTAGTGCCTTCAAATGAAGCGTACCTGGGGCGTAAGGGCTTTGTGGAACTTGATATTGAAGTGGGGGAGCATGTTGGTAGGGGTTGTACGGAGATTGCATCTGAAAAATCGTTTGTAGAAGCAAAGAAAAGTCAGCAGTAAAAATAAATTACCTGCATTCCTGGCGCCGCCTGAGGGTACTGATATGGGTTCATGTAAGGATTCTGAGCAGGATAAGGATACTGTTGGGGAGCACCGTATGGCTGTGGCATTGGTTGCTGTGGTACTGAACTGGGAAAGTTTTGTTGTGGAACAAACGGTGCCTGGGATGGTGCCTGGGAGCTAGCTGTATAGGGGACAGTTGTAGACTGGGAGCTAGATGGATAAGGAGCCATCGCGGGCTGGGGAACCGTCGGATAAGGAGGTGACTGGTATGGTTGACCAGGTTGGGAGGCATACGGTTGTGGCTGTTGAGGTTGTTGGGAAGGCTGTGGAGGGTGGGCATTTTCAGGGGGAAATGTGACGTAGTACGGTGTTGGATTCGACGACGAAGAAGAGCTTTGAGCTGTAACGCTGTCCGCCGACTGGGACTATTCTCTGAAATAACAAGTCGTTCAGGAAGCTATGGAAAATACACATATTGATTCTACCTACCGTATATTGGAGATTTGCTGGTAGAATTGTCTTGTAGAAATGGATTAAGAGATGCAGAACCGGACGATGAGCGATCAGAGGTCTTTCCGACGGTCCCGGATGGGACTGGAACAGGAGGAACTCCAGGCATTGGTTGGTTCAATATGGAAGGCGATAGACCGATCTGAGGCGGTCCAGGAGTTGGAGTGAGGGCAAATAAGGGCGGAGGGCCCGGTAGGACCAAAGGCGTTGGAGCCAACGGTGGGTTAGCGCTTGGTTTACCTGCAATAAATACCTCAATAACAGATAATCTTTTTGGAACATTCGAACCTGTACCTAAATTCATCCGCTCAAGGTCGATCACTGGAATGACGCCAGAGGTCGTTGCTTGTTCATACGAAGGCAGTGGGTCCAGCATTGCTCCTGAAATAAGTTGTATGGAACCGATGCCCCATTTTTTTCTGGTTGTCTAGGCGATACCTTGTGGAGGAGTAAACACGACTTCTTCGACAATCAGAGGACCTTCGATGCTGACTTCTCTAATATCTGTCGGGCTGACACGATGAACAAAATCCATTTTGTGAGTGTTGTTGAAGAAAATCTTAAATGTCTTTTAGGAGCCTTTTCGAATCACAAAAACAAAACTGCCAGTGTTCTCTCAAAGGGGGGGGGAAGGCCACTAGCAAATGAGCCCTAAACGGAAAGGAAGAACCATCCCGGAAGGCATGTGATGCTGACGTGCGCTTGATTCCTTCTTCTCCTCTTGTCTAGGGTTATCCTAGATCCTGTGCATATTCTTTGAATCTGACGCTGTGTTAAGAGATGCCTCCCCCCTCCGGAGTCACATTGCGCGCCGCCCCTCTCCACCACATCACAGAATCGCTGATTCAATACTGGCGGAATATACATAGGGGGGGGGGCACAAAAGACATTATTTGCCCAGGCCTATACTTCGGCTATTTTTTTCGCTAGACCTCGGTCAGACTCGGCGATTGCGTCGCTGGACACCAGCGACGGAGCCGCCAGCGACGGAGCCGCCAGCGACGGAGCCGCCAGCGACGGAGCCGCCAGCGACGGAGCCGCCAGCGACGGAGCCGCCAGCGACGGAGCCGCCAGCGACGGAGCCGCCAGCGACGGAGCCGCCAGCGACGGAGCCGCCAGCCACAAGAGTGGGCAACGGGCGATGACTCATCACACGAAATCGACGACCAAATCTTGCTCAACATTATGCAAAATTTCCCCTGAACGCAGTTTTTCTTTCTGATTTTTGACTTTACCAATAGACAAAATGTAACTACAGATGAGAGCTTTCATAGTACACATTGTTGGGAAACGAATTGAACGTTTGGAAGGCTAACTCGGATTTCAAAGGGATGGTGGTTAAAAACTCTAGAAGTTCATACGTACAAAAGTATTTTGATATAGTTCAAACTCCTCATTGTGTCTTAAAACTATGAAAAGACTTAGAGGTCCTGATCGCTAATTTACCTTAAGCCCTGATCGCTAATTTACCTTAAGCTTAATTATGTAAAAGACTAGTTATTATGTCGCCGAGCGAAGTGCCACATTCCAAAATTTCATACAAATTAGTAGTGTGATCGATCGATCGTGTGATGAGTCATCGCCCGTTGCCCACTCTTGTGGCTAGCGGCTCCGTCGCTGGCGGCTCCGTCGCTGGTGTCCAGCGACGCAATCGCCGAGTCTGACCGAGGTCTGACGGAAGTTCCTCAGCAAAATATTCCCTAAATGTCCCTAATAAGTACACGCAGGCCCTCCTTCACTACCCTCACCGTCTTCAGAATATGACGTCATCTGTCACCGTCGTCGAGCTCAGGGAGGCCTACAGTAACTGCTTCAGCCTGAAGCTCTTACAATTAATTAGGCTCTAACTATGCAAACCCCTCGGAACCCGCCCTTCGGAACCCGTCGTAACGGTACACGATCAGTCGAGAACCCCATTTGAGCTCGACCAGAGCACCATGTTTCCGGGCAAATTTTTCTGATGCCGTCCACGTAGATGGCCACTATGAAGATTTTCTTATGAAATGAAAGCGCTCTTCAATTCTAAGTTGGGAGCACACGCTTTGAGCTGAGCAAAGTGTGATTAAATCCATTTGAGTCTGGAGACAAAATGTCTTTTTTTATTGCCCCCCCCCGTACCATGGCGTTACTTCGCCGTGTGGACAGGCTGTTTCTAACATACTTCATTGGATATCAACAAATCATACTGGAAGGAGCTTACCCGCGCAATTTCCATCAAGTGCGGCGGCCGCTACGTCAAAGACACGTCATGGTCACACCTACTTTGACTTCGAGGTATGCAGTTTTATCACGACTGACATTAAGAAGACAAGGGTTTCATATACAGATCTTGAAACGGCAAATTTTCGTGTAATTCCTGCCCCTCCCCTGTCCGGAGCCACATTGCACCCGACATTGTTCTAGTTCCGCCTTCGAGTGAGATGCTGACAGTGAAGAAAACTGAGATGAATACCTCCGGTCACATATTGTGTAGTCCGCAGTTGCAGAGTAAATTTTGTTTCGAGTGGAACAATAATCGGCATGTCCACTTCACTTGTGAATTTTCCATCGATTCGTGCGCTTGCTGTGATCTGAATAAATGCTGAATGAATTTCAGCTTATCCAGGAAAAACTGTGAAGTTTGCAGGTCACCTTTCCACTTTTTGCAATGGGCACTGTGACGAGTATAGCGATGTCTTTAGCCGTCGACAACTGCACAGTGAAGCTCCTAAAAATGCATCAGTAAGGGAATTGATTTCCAGATTTTTTGAAGTTAGTGCACACAGAAGGCCGCTGAGTTCATGGTAATTTCATAACATCATTAGAGCTTAAAGGCTGCGAATACGATATTTTCAAGAAGGGTTCAGAGGAGACGTGGTGGTGTCAATGGTACGTTAGTGGGCGAAAGAGAGAAAAGATCGTCAGAAAAAAAGAAACGGACCTTTTTTGGCCATGTGATTTCACCATGAACAGGTAAGCAGGCTTTAGAAAGCGGATGTATGCATGAAATCAGCGCAATCACTTTGGTGATACCATGCGAAATCACGCTCTAATCGAGATGCCTCCAGTTATGCCGCTGCTGGCAACGCAGCTCGTCCAAATCACAAGTAAACTAGTGGGCGGAGCGCTTTCGAAGTCCTGCTCAGCAACCAGCGCACCTTTCGTCGTGAAAGCGCCACACCTCGCTTCCCTGGCAGCCAAGTAACTGATTCGTGTGGTGCATATGCTTCCCGATGCGCTCCCTCTTTATCGTAATCGCTTCCTTTAACACATTAAAGGCAAGGATCAAAATTAGATTGGTGTGAAAATCCCACTCCCAAGTATGAAAATAGAGTGAGATGGACTGCAAGTAGAGAAAAAAGGAAAGGAAATCGTGAAATACACAGTCAATTTGAGCTGCCTTGCTCTACGTTGCGGCGTTGTCTAATGGTAAGAAGCAAGCAGAAGATGAGAGATAATGTAGGTCGCGGAGAGGGAAAAGATGTCCGGGTAGAGAATGCATAGCAGATCATCACTGCGGTGCAGATAAGAACATGGGCAGGCCCTGACACTACCTTTGGTGGGATTTGAGCAAAGTCCTTAGCCTCAGCGCCTAGCGTCTTATCCTTAGTCACACGTTTCGATCTGCGAAGGTGGGCGGACCACACCCCTCTATCCACGGGAGCGATTACTTCAGTGCAGTGCGGCTGAGCCCGGACTTTGCCCTCAAGGAGTAGAGAATGGGTCCCACATCTCTCTGGGAAAATTATTAACGGGGGTTGTGATAGAATAAAAGTTTAAATAAAGAATGAGAGCTATAAAGGTCCAATCAAATAATACATAGGTTGCTAGTATGGAGAAGAATTGCTAAGATAATTGAATAGTTCGAAGAATGAAGAGCGGGAAATCACATCGCCCACTTAAGGAAAAAACCGTCGATCGAGATACCAGAAATCGCACCAACTTCTCTTTTGCTCGGAATGCCTGTGCTGTGAAGCTAATTGAGGTACCGATTGCGCATCCGCTGTGGATCTCTCGCCGAAATGGCATATTGCTGAACGGAATCATCCTTAGATTCTTGCATTTCCCTTTCGGAGGTTAATGTACAAATTTTTCAGGTTTATGTTGTTTTCTTTAGGTTTTTTCCCCTCATGGGTGGCGTGAGCTACTCCCGTCCACATCCCACAGTCGCCAAAAGGTATGACCCTCCCTTGCTGTCCAGTAACGTTATCAAAACCATTGCACCCTCGAGCCCTTCGTGGTTTGACTTCTACGCTCTCAGAGGATCGATAAGTTTGGAGTCGAAGCGAGGTAACATTCCTAGTGGAAGGACTGGAGACACTCCTCCGGTGCGACGACATGCAAATTCCCCAGAAGGATACTCGAGATCTAGCATAGGGCCTCCTGTGGCGCTATGGATCGGTCCGCCCAAACAGGCTGCTAACACTCGCCGCAGGTCTCGCCACCCGTCCAGCAGAGAGCAGAGAAGCGTTAGCGCGAGAGGGGAAATCGTAAGAATACGCATGAAATGTGGGATTAACGGGCAGAAGGGGCTTCTTCTCATGGTGTTTTACTATCCTCGCCCGCTGATCACCTTCTCCCTTAATTCTTATGGCTGCCTTCTAGCGCAAACCCCGCCTTAGATTGAACTCCTCAAATTTCCTAATCCTATATGAAACAAGGGCGGAAGTGGTGCAGTGACAAGTGGCGCGCTCACCACGCGAGCGGTCCGGGATCAAATCCTGGGTCGTGAGTCGCCCGGGCCAACCAAGCCTTCCATCCCTCCGGGGTCGGTTAATTGGTACCAGACTTGTCTGGGAGGATAAAAACACTGACTTGTACATCGGCTGGCCCCCGCAAGTCATTGTATAGGCCACATCGCATTCAAACGCCACTGCGAATGTACAAATGGAAGTATGCGTGCCGCATCCCAAAAAGGGATTGATCAACGGCAAATGCTTTATCCTTTTTTTTATAACTAAAACAATAGATTATTTTCGCCAAGTTTTTTCAGAATGCTATTTTGCAGTCAGCATCTTCACTGCTCACCGTGTTGTCAGTAATGTCTGATTTTGGGCAACGCCAACATGTCATGTGACATTCTCAACGATTGTCCGATTTTTGTCCGTCCGGTTTTCCGGAATAAGCCATGCATTTGTGATTTGTGGTATCAGAATTTTTAAAATGGGGTTTATGAAGGCCGAGTCATTATGACGAGAACCACCTGATGCGGCGTTTTCGCTGAGTTGCCCGATACTGTACTGACAACTGCTGTTCCGCTCTCACTAACAGTTTTGCCAAAATAACGATGCATCAATTAAGCTTCAAAAAACATTAACTCCTCCTAATTACTGTGCGAACCAACCTTGGAAAATGAAAAACCTCAACCCAATAGTCATCCTGAGGAATAATTCACCCTGAGAACAGTCTGTCCGCAAGCATGTTTTCAGCCAAACTGTGTCCTTTCTACTCTCGCTCACCCTCACTCACGTCTACAAATGATGTCATTTAGGAAATAGGCAGCGTTGTATCCAACTCCCACCAGAGCGGTGTGTTTGAAATTACCGCCCGGATCTT